CTGGAGGGTACGAATAATTGAGCAGGCCATATAGTTCATTTCCTGAGTCTGTGAGAGACTCAGCATCTCTGTATTTAGCTGGGTCACGTTTACACTGGCTCTGCACCTCCTCACCCAGCTTGTCTGTGCTAATGTGCTCAATGAATTTTTAATTGAGAGGAATGAAAGTAAGCTGCTTTTGTGGGGGTCCTTGACATGGCGGGACAAAAATCTCTACAGGACTCAGCAAAGCTCATGCAGGCCGTTACTGAAGTGGCATACGCTGGCCTGGCGGGTAGTGTGTTTGTATGCAGGTGACCAGAGTTTGAATCCAGTTAAGGTCATTTCATGACCACCTTTTTGTTGTTTCCCCATCTCAAAAAGTCACGAATTCTGCTTTAAAAAATCAGTGGATCACTGTGGATTCCAACTGAATTTGAAGTTAATAGTGTGTCCATATTAATCATAAGGACATAGCACACACAAATATTAAGAAACAATTATTTTTTTAAACAATTCAATAATAAAATAAACTATTATTTAATTAAATTAATTTAATAACTATTTGTATTATATTTAATATTTTCTATTTAAAATTAAATACTTTCTATTTAATGGAAATTAAAAACAGTAAATTGTCAACTTTTTCTGTTGACTTTGTGAACCAATTTTAATTTTAGGATTTTTTTTTTTTTAATTTTCCATTTAGAACAGCCTTTGTTTCAGAAGCATGTCTCAAAATGCTGTCTATGTACTTACTGTTCAAACGTTGGGGGTCAGTATAATTTTTTTTTAGGAAATCAATGCTTTTATTAAGCAATAAATTGATCAAAAGTGACAGTGAAGCATTTATAATATTATAAAAGATTTCTGTTTCAAATAAATGCTATTCTTTTATGCTTTCTATTCATCAACAAATCCTGAAAGAAAAAAACGTTTCCCAAAAAAAATAAAAAAAGCCACACAAATGTGGGACTGAATACATATTATTTTTTTTGATGTATATATTCTGTAAATAGGTATTTTTAGGTCATTACAAAAAAAAGAAAAGACCCTGAAAGTGTAAGATTTGGTACTTGGGAAAATGTATACAGTTAGTCTAGTTGACAGTGTGTACAGCTAAAATCTGTCTCTGCTACTTTTATGTCTTTTATCTTTGTAATTCCATGTGGTTTGGCTCAGGCTGTCAGGGACGTGCATTTCACCAACCAAAACAGCCTTCTAAAACCGGTGATATCTCAGTATTCATTGCCCCTCTTGCAGAGAGAGAAGGACTTTGTTATGCATTATTCATTTATTTTTATGTTTTTGTTTCTTCCGTTCCTTCACCTTTTTTATCGCCTTTTGTACATCGTCTCCTAGTTTGTTTTGCTCCTGGCTTGGTACGCATGAAAAATACAGCTCCCGAGGCGAGAAATGTTGAGCAAGACATCTCCCTTACCTGAGTTATTCAGAAAAGCAATACCTTAAACTTTGTGAGAGGGGGAAAGCATGATATTAAGAGCGAAGCCAATTTGGCCCTTAACTGAAGCATATCTGACATCACCTTAGGGAGCAGACAATTATGTAAAAGTTCCATATAACG